TTTCTTTTTAACTTCTATATTAGATTTAGGTTTTATACTTAGCTGGAGTTTTTCTTTATCTGCTACATTTTTTTCATTCAAATCATTATACTTCTTTTCTAAATTTTTAAATAGATTCACTATAAACACCTCAACTTCTTTAACTTCTTTTTCAGCTAAAGTTTTTGTTTTTGCAGATTTCATATTGGGGCTATAAGCATTTTCCCATAGATGAAAGTATATGTATTCTATTTACAAGTTAAGTATGTGATAAGAACTTTTTTTTTTTCAATATTATTTTATACAATATTAATAGTTAAGAGGATATTGTGATTTGGATGATTAGAGAAGTTTAATCTCACAGTCACCACCAATTGAGAAAGTGAAAAATATTCTTCTTCTTGGGTAATACTGATAAACAACAAAACTATACTAAAACTAACTAAACTACTCTAACCAAAATACCACAACTAATACAACCAAAATCTAATATTAGTAAGACAACGATCGAGGCGTGAAAAGACTTGGTCTAAGTAACTAGGATGAATTGAGTTTTTAATAATAGTATTGGATTAGAGCTTTATATTATATTATGAATTTCTTTATACAAAATTATAGGATTTGGTCACAAATTTTAATCGTAAAGATAGATTTTACTTATTAGAAAGAGGTTATTAGCATCTAACACTTCTACTCTAATTTTGAAGGTTGAGAACTTATTTAAATTAAACTCCAGAAAGTTAGAAGTTATTTTATTCAAGCTATGTTTTGAACTTCTTTATATACATGGTTCGTTACTATCAAATGCTTTCTGATATTTCTACTCTATCTACTATATAGGATCGATATGCTATATCTGCTATATCTAGTATATATAGCATATCTGCTATATAGACTATATCGGCTATATCTGACATATATAGCATATTTGCTATATATAGCATATTTGGTATGTATGACTACAACCAATTTAGATAAATTAACCCAAGCCACCTTAGTATCAATTTATACTTTCACAATGTATATACATGTGCATATTACAGATTAAATTAGTTTTTAGATCAAGTTAAACTTGAGCTAGATTAAATTAATCTTTAACAAAATTTTAGAGTTAGGTTGGGCAAAAATTATGTTAATACTGCCAGGTTTTTTAATTGATCAATTTGATCTGAGTAGTATGGTAGACATTTGATTTGATTGGCTTGAAGATCTCTGAGTTACACAACATAAAAAAAAATTTTTAAAGTAACCCTTACTATGAAAAACCACATCATCAATTAGCAACTTGTGGTTTCACATAATAAAAATTTTTTAAAGCAAATTATAGTATTCTTTAACTCTTCGTATGTCTTCTATAAAAAAAGAGCAGTATAGATCAGTATCCTTAAAAACTTCACTTAGAAAGCAAATTTAGACAAGTAATATATAACAAATGAGGCAATTAGAAATTATCTTTTGCCTTCAAACTTGAAAAAAAAAGTTAGGTTGTTCGCAAGCAGCTCCCTTATGTGATTAGCTAGTACTTGAGATGCTACTCAAATTATTCAAAAATAAATGCCGATCTTAAATCTTAGCTAATTAAAAAAAGTGGTTTGAACCTCTAGATTTTATTTAACAAGAACTAGTGAGTAAATTCAATATCTGAAAAAATTGGTAATAAATGTTTATTTATTTCTAGGTACGAACCACCTAGTCAACCAGGCTAACTTTTTGGCTGATATAATTTTCTAATCAAAATAGTTACTATATGTAAAAATTTATCAAATAGTTCTTTACCGGATTCTAGTGATACTAAATTATTATTTTTTAAAAAAAAAAATTATAGCCCCAAACTTTTGAGAACTACATAAATTCAGCAAATATAGGTAATTCGAAGGAATTTTCTAAAACTGGTTTATTATCTATAAAATGGAATATACTAATAGAATGTTTCAAGTTGGCAACTGTTATCTTCACAGATATAAAACTGAAAGAGATGAATACCAAGCATTTATTTGATATAAAAAATCAACAGAAAAAGGAAACACTTCTAGAATATTCATGCTTGGATATTATTACAAATATGAAATTGAAGTTGAAAAGGATGAAAACAAAGCATTCTCATATTATCAATAATTGGCAAAAATAAATAATTCTAACAGAATGTATCAAGTTGCTCATTATTATTATTTAGGAATTGGTATCAAAATCGATAAGCATAAAGCATTCTGAAATCTGCTTAGGCTAGTAATGCTGTGATAGAATCATCTAATTCCTTATAATTAGATAGCCAATTATCAAATTATATATATTTAAATATTATTTTTCATCAACCTCATATCTGAATTGGGATTTACTAGATAAATATTAAACTTAGTTTTTTTTTTCTTTTTTTTTGATTCTTAACTTATCCAAGACAAGATTATAAAGAACGATAGTAGATAATTTGACTAAGTTGTGAACGAGTAAGAGTTGAACGTGAAGGTCATATAGAATTGATAAGAAACTTGGTTATTTCAGCGATACAATTAAGGACAATGATTGGGTGAACTGGACTAGGTTTTAAGACACTATCAGGTAATTAAGGGTCAGCACTAATTCGTTTGATTAGTTGTATTTGTACTGTATTTTGTCTTTATTTCTTTTAATAATTTATTTGTACATTGAACAACTTTAATGGTATATGAGTTGAAGCCAGATTTGGACTAACTATAGATAGAATTTCATGACTAGACGGATTTTGTTACGAATATAGAATTGGAGTTGAAATAGATGAAAACAAAGTATTTTCACTTTATCTAAAATTGGCAAAAATGAATAATTCTAATAGAATGTATCAAGTTGCCCATTGTTATTATTTAGGAATTAGTGTCGAAATCGATAAGCATAAAGCATTTACATATTATCTGAAATCTGCTTAGGCTGGTAATACTGTGATAGAATTGTCTAGCTTTGCTTGAATGTGTACCAGGTTTATGGCGTAGCAAAAATTCTTCAAAGTTCATTTATATTAGGGTTAGGGTTAGGGTTCGGGTTAGAATTAGGAAAGGATATTTATATAGTAAGATTGGCTAATAAAAACTTTATGTTAAAGTACTAAAGATAGTTTCCTATACAGATTTTTAAGAAATGGGTGATTTCTGACAAAATAGATATTTGTTTTGAATTTTCTTTATTATATTACACCTGATCTTGAAATCTGATTCATAGTTTAGAATTTCTGTGCCACAAACCTAGCACACATTCAAGAAGTGCAATCATCTAATTCCTTATAATTAGATAGCCAATTATCAAATTATATATATATATATATATATTATCTTTCACCAACCTCATATCCGAATTAGGATTTATCAGATAAGTATCAACCTTGTTTTTTTTTTTATTCTTATTTTATTCAAGACAAGATTATGAAGAGCGATAGTAGATAAGCTGACTAAGTTGTGAATGGATAAGAGTTGAACATGAAGGTCAGTGGAATTGATAAGAAACTTGGTTATTCTGGGTAATACTATGAAAGACAATGGCCAGATAAACTGGACTAGGTTTTAAGACACTATCAAGTAATTAAGAGTCAGCACTAATTCATTTGATTAGTTATATTTGTACTGTATTTTGCCTTTATTTCTTTTATTAATTTATTTGTGCTTTAGGCAACTTGAATAGTAGATGAGTTGGAGCCGGGTTTGGACTAACTATAGATAGAATTGAAGAACTAGGTAGAAATTAGAGTGGAGAAGCCTTATGATAATAAGTATAGAACTATTCGTTTTGTCTTGAGGTAGAATAATAACAGCCAAATGCAAGGAACTATGTGGAATGTGAAGACTCTTTTTAACAGCATTGTATCCTTTTTCACATATCTTGTGTTTTCGCATGTCTTATGTTTTCAGTATTGTATTTTTATTTTACTAACATTTCTTTTTAAGAACAGGGCATAGGTAAAGAGGTGTGGGATGTGAAAATATGAGACTATACATATTAGGCATCAGTATGAGGGATGATACGGT